ATCGTGACTGAGCTGAAGTCGGACGCTCAACCGACTGAGCCACCCAGGCGCCCCAAAAACATTTTTTTTAATAAAAACGAAATGGAAAAGTAAAATGTCGGTGTATACATTGGACAGTGGTACATCTTTTGCCACTATTTAAACGTAGAAAGAGCACTTTCCATTGTCACCTTAATACTATGGGAGGAGGTGCCTTGAAGACCAGTGCTCCAGGTCACTGTTCAGAAAACGGATGTGCTTGCAGACCAGCCGGGGAACTCCGTTTAATGCAGATTCTGCTTCATGGGGTCTGCAGTGGGGCCAAGCTCCCAGGGGACGCTGGGCGTGCTACAAAATTTGTGTATGCAAATTTTGGATTTGCATACATGGGGAGACCATTTGGTGGGGGAAGCGGGGAGGCAGGCAGACACCCAAAGAGACAAGTGGGCTAGTCCAGCCTTCAAGGCCTCCCTCCCTCCACAGGTGGGGAGCCCGACACGACAGTGGCTGTATGTACCGACTCCTTGTCCAACTTCTAGATGCCAACCAGACGGTCCTGGATAAATTCTCTGCTATGCCTGTTCCCATCCAGCAGTGGAACAACAATGTCTGCTTTCAGGTGAGTCTCTGACAGGGACACGGGGAGAGGGTGGTGGGGCCTGGGACGGTTATCTGTTGCATAACAAATGACCCCAAAACTTAGTGGCTTTACGTCAACGGCAGTCATTTTGGTACTTCTTGTGGTTTCCTTTCTTTTATTTAATGTTTATTTTTGAGAGAGAGAAAGAGCACATGCGCAAGGGAGCGGGGAAGGGGCTGGGGGGGGTGGGGGGCGGCGGACAGAGGATCCACGGCTTCCACGCCCACCGCGGTGAGCTGGACGCAGGGCTCGAACTCACGAACCGTGAGATCACGACCTGAGCTGAAATCAGACGCTCAACTGACTGAGCCTCCCAGGCACCCCATCTTCTCGTGGTTTCTATAAGGAGGGCTCTGTTGGGTGCTTCTGGTTCCCGTGTGTGTGAACAGCGGCTGGTGGCTTCGTCAAGAGTCCCAGAGAGCTTTGTTGTGCGTTGTCTCTGCCAGGGCTGGTTTGGATTTCCTCGTGGCATGGCCACCTCAGGGCAGCCAGACTGCTTACTGGTGGCTCAGGATCCCTCGAGGAGGGTTCTAGAGAATGCAGGAGAAGCTGCCTTGCCTTTTCTGACCCAGCTTTGGCACTCACTTGGCGACGGTCACTTAGCATCACTTCCGCCACCCTCCGGGTTACAGACAGACCCACCCAGGCTCAAGGGGACGGGAATTAGAATGAGGAGCCGTGGGATTCCATCCGCCAGAGAGCCTCACTCCCAGTTTTCGAGAAGAAGGCCGTGGCACAACAGGCTGATCTCTCCTTTACCCGCAGGTCACCCACGTGTTCTCTGACATCAAGATAGGCGTCCGCTTTGTGTCCTTCGAACATTGGGGCCAGGACACGCAGTTCTGGGCGGGTCACTATGGAGCTCGTGTGACCAACTCCAGCGTGGTCGTGCGGGCCCGTCTGTCTTAGTCGAGCGCTATCCTTGCAAAACAACCTGACCTATGCCTTCCAGAACCTGGGACCGTTGGCCAGGCCTTCTCATGAACCAAGGACATGTACCTCCTGGCATCCCTGGATACTCCAGAATCCATTCGAGGGTCCTGCTGGGCCCCCTCTTCAGGTTCTGGAAACTACTAGAAGGAAGAAAGTTCCTCCATCACATCTACCTACTGCTGTTGTAGGGCAGGGGGGATGACACAGGTGAGCACCCAGGAATGCTGGTCCTGGAGAGGGCTCTTCACCCTCACCCCGGAGGTCCTCTGATTCAACCCCAACCCCCCTCTACCCTTGTCTCCTCTTGTTTCTGCTTTGGGGGTTTCATTGGTCCCTTTTGGGCACCCCCCTCATCTCTGAAGTAGAATCTTGTCCTTGTGGCTGGGAAGATTCCAGCCACCTTGGGTGGCAAACTTCACCTCCTGAAGCTTCGGGGTTGGGACCAGATCTCGCAGTTGAAAGTCAACTAGCTCAAAAAACGTTTGGAGATCCTCAAGGACCCCTGGGATTGTGTGGTGTATAAAATTATTTTTTACTTTGAAACGTTTCGCGAATGCTGGGAGAATAATATATCCGCAACGGCTACCTGCCGGTCATATGTAATAAATTTATTATTTTGCCAAAAGTACCTGGGATCTTTTCGATACGAGTCTGATGTTACTGTCTTGGTTACTACTTGGTCCGAAAAAACAAACTGTCCCGGTGGAGGAGGGGAAACTACAGAAGAAAACCCCAATAGAAGGTGTTTCAGTAGGAAAGAACGGAAGAGTTAGAACAGTAATATTTCCCAAGACCCAAGGAAACCATCGATTCAGACAAAGATTTTCAACCAGGGTCAAAAGTATTAGGCAGACAGTGGATGTAGGTACAGTAATCACACTGGCAACACAGTTGTGACTTTCTAATGTTTATTTTTGAGAGGGAGACAGACAGAGCATGAGTGGGGGAGGGGCAGAGGGAGAGGGAGACCCAGAATCCGAAGCAGGCTCCAGGCTCTTGAGTGGTCAGCGCAGAGCCCGACATGGGGCTCAAACTCGTGAACCGTGAGATCATGACCTGAGCTGAAGTCGGATGCTTAACCGACTGAGCCACCCAGGTGCCCCTGGGACTTTCGAGATGGAGCCAGGGTTAGGCTGTCCTCACACCAGTCCAGGGTCACGGCTCACTCACTGCTGGTGGGTCAGTGATATGTTCTAGGTCTCTCTCTCTTTGTTTTAAGATTTTATTTTTATTTTATTTTATTTTTTTTAATTTTTTTTTTTCAACGTTTATTTTTGGGACAGAGAGAGACAGAGCACGAATGGGGGAGGGGCAGAGAGAGAGGGAGACACAGAATCGGAAACAGGCTCCAGGCTCTGAGCCATCAGCCCAGAGCCTGATGCGGGGCTCGAACTCCCAGACCGCGAGATCGTGACCTGGCTGAAGTCGGACGCCCAACCGACTGCGCCACCCAGGCGCCCCTATTTTATTTTATTTTTAAATGTTCATTTTTGAGAGAGAGAGAGTGCGAGCGAGTCTTGGGGGGAATGGGCAGAGAGAGAGGGACAGGATTCAAAGCAGGTTCTGCACTGACAGCAGAGAGCCTGATGTGGGGCTCGATCATGACCTGAGCCAAAGTCGGATGCTCAACCGACTGAGCCACCCAGGCACCCCAAGATTTTATTTTTAAATAATCTCTACACCCAGCGTGGAGCTTGAACTCATAACCCTCAGACCAAGAGTTGCGTGCTCTACTGAGT